AACGCACACTGAGACATTTTGCGCCTCCACCGGATGGGGCATGATTGTGGTGTCATCGCCAAAGGCAACCAACTATGATGAGTGGGAGAAGCAAACAAAAGCCAGTCGAATCATCATGAATTGCCCCGACGAGATGGATGTGAAGGCGATGTGTACATGGATAACGCGAGGTCTGGAACCAGATAAGCAAGCGGAATACTGGAGGATGGTTGAAAAACACATGGATTACGTGGGGCCGATTCCACGCCACATCCTCGATGCGGATGAATATGGAAGACGCACGAAGGATGTTGAGAGGGCCTTGAGATGGATCAATATTGGGGATCAAGGAAAGCACTTTACACAGGGAGGAGAGAAAAAATGGTATTCCGAGGATCCGTCTCACAAGCTTGTGAAGATTGTCCGGGTGAGAGAGAAAAGCGCATTTGAGGACTTCGCTAATGCACCTATATGTGAGTATCTTGGGGTTTTAACGTTATCTCGTTTGACAAAGGTGCTGAGTCCGCATGATATTTTTTTCCTCGTATTGGGGATGAAGAATGTTCTTCAATCTGAGGCCTTGGAAAAGTATTCTTTGAGCGTATTCTTGATTGAGAATTTTGTCACTTCCATGGCGGAGGATCTCAAGGAGCTGCCGCCACCATCGCCTTCCGAACCACGGCCCTCGGTGCTAACGTTAAACCCTCATGGTCACCCCACCGAGGCAACTGCAATAAGTAAACTGAAGTCAGTTGGTCGCCAGCAAGAATTAAAGTATCGGGTGCTGTACATACCGACGTTCCCAACCTTTCCGCTGGTGGACGGCTTTTTCTTCATGGAATCACCGCGGAGGACGCTGGTCGGGCTGCAGATGACTACAGCGAGTGCGAATCACACCATACCCAGCACTGTGAATCAGTTCACTGAGCATCTATCGGAGTTTTTTGATGGTTGGGAGGAATTTGCTAAAGGATTGTCGTGGGATATTATTTATATACAACACGCAGACAGCACGCCGATGGAAAACTGGCAGAGATGTGGTCCCGTCAATACCGAAAATTTGAGCGACGCTGAACAAGAAATTGTGGCGTTCTGGAACGGAAAGGTACACCAATACCAGTTTATTTTAGAAGGTAAATTTCCTGAGGCAATCGAATTTTCTCATGATGGTCTACCTAAGGGGGATAAAAAGGGCAAGGAAATTGGTACTACTTATTCTTTGTAAAGTGCATTTCGTTTTGGTAAATATATTGGGAGTATTTTAACGATTTTTATATGTGTGTGCCTACGAGGTCTAGACAGTGAATGCCTTTCGTTTCAGAGAACCGTTGTGATCGGCAGTGCCACACTCGCCACACCCTCTTTTCATTTTATTTTATTTTTTCCACCAGAGGCGCATCGTCACTGGAGGCCGTTGCGCACTACAGGGGCCGCATAATTTCTTTTGTATTTTCATGGGATTTTGTGAAAAGAATGCCTGAGAGGGCGGCTGGCTGCCCAAATAAATTCATATCTCGCACAAACGAAGATATCTCTTCACAACTTTTTTCTCTTCTATCGCACTGTCTTTTGGGAGACCGCGATTGAGGGAGTCAGGGAGCCGACAGCTGCCAGACGAAACTATTATTTTTTATTTTTTATTTTTGCTTTCCCACCCACTTTGTGATTCCCACCTTGTGGGTGGAGGAGCCCAAAGGCCTGCCGCTTGGCAGGGGATAATTGTTTTTATTTGTAACCATCCGCAGAGGTCAAGGGCAGTGATTGACGGAATGTGTATACGTAGACACATTGGGGCAAAAATTACGGAGAACTCACCACCTCTTTATTTACCGCTTTTTCCTTTTTTTGGGGGGGGGCAATTACAGGATCCGGCCGGCGGCCCAGAAGATTTCTTCCTCTGTGAAGGTGCATACTTATTTTTGGTGTTAGTGATGGGGCAAACAAACAGAAAACGTGAACAAAATAAAATAAAAAAGAAAAGGACGATAATGTGGCGGTGTTGTGGCCGATTGCACGTTGCGTTGCTGCGGAGGCGGTGGGCCTTGACTGTTTCACCGACAGGCGTTGCATTGCGGCTGCGTGGCGCACCGACCGTCCCGCCGTGCGAGTGCCACGCCCAACGTCATTGGGACTGCGGGACGAAACAGCCGCGACTGTCCTTTGGAGCCAGCGGCACCTGCTGGCCGCAGTTGGGCGGTGCGAGTGGGATGCTTCACCGCACGGGTGTTGTGATGGCACCTCGCCGTGGCTCTTGTGATGGTTCCGACGCTGCAGCTTGACATGTGGCGGGGAGTAAACAGCGACCGCAGTGGACCATGAGCAGCACCAACATGAGGCTGAATGATTTTCTTACGATGGAATTGGACGGCAGGGGCATTTTGCGCGCCAATTGGGATGTCTTACTGGAGGAGTTTTTTAAGGACCCCAGGAAGTATATTTGCGATGCGGGAGTATTGAAAGAAATGCAGGCATCCGATCGTTACAAGAGGATGGAGAGGGCTGTGAGGGATGAAATGGATATGGAAGAGTATGTAAACAGGCTTTACGAGAAAGGTGTGGACACTTTACTGACATGGTCAGAAGCTGCTCCGGAGGTAAAAGCAAGTGCTCGCGACAACAATAAAAACTCATTGGATGCAGCCTTCATGGAATTGATGAGCTCAACGACGACGAGTGCACCGATATACCTGCAGGGATATTATGAGTCCGTGTACAATGCGAGTTGGAGCCATGTCGTGGAAGTTTCCGACGGCGAGGGGACGGGAATGGAGGCGAAGGAGGGAAACCGGAACAGTCATGGACGTACAAGGCAGTTGACGACACTTTTGAAAGGGATGACGCTGTGCGGAAATCCGGTGAAGTACCTCCCAGGCTGATGGTGCTCACCTCGGACAAGGGATGGCCGTACTCGTGGAATCGGAAGGGGGTGGAATCCACTCGTGACTGCTACGTGAACTGTGAGGTGGAGCAAGTGTGGCTGTTCGTCAAGGACGATCTAACCGAATTGCTCAGCATTCACCGTTGGACCTACATCAAGCCTGGGCGACATGTGTTGATTGGGACGCCCGGGATCGGGAATTCGATGAATGCCGGCTCGTATCTCCTCTACCAGCTGCTGCACTACGATGCGGAGCAGCTCCCAATGGTTGCGTACGTTATTGGGAGTCAATCATTCCTGTTTGACAAGATCACAAAAACGGTATCAGTGTACATGGGTGACCCCAGGATTGAGGATGTTGTAAAAATTTTTTCTCGGCGTGGGGTTAAAGGGGTATATTATCTACGATGCGACATTGGCATGTCGTCAACCGCCTGCCGGTTTGCCTTGCAGGGGATGGGGCATGATTGTGGTGACACCACCAGACAAAAACGAATATGAACGGTGGACAAAAAAAATGGACGCTACTGCAATCGTAACGAATTGTCCCGAAGAAAACGATGTGAGGGCAATGTGCATTTGGATGAAGCGCAATCAGATTCCGCAGGAGCAAGCGGAATACTGGAAGAAGGTGAGGGGCCGCATGAATAACGTGGGACCAATTCTCCGCTTCATATTTGGCAAACAGGCATATGATGACCGCATTAAAGCGTGTCAGCAGGCCGTGGATGGGTCGACCGCCTCGGAATTGGAGCGCAATTTGGGTATTGGCTGCTGTTACTCGCCTATTGACAGTGAATTGTCTCGAAAGCTTGTGAGGGTTGTCCGAGTACGACGAGGAAACAGCATTGAGTCGCCTCTGAATGTACTGATATCTCCCCATCTCGAACGCGAAATATTGTCCCGGCTGGAAAATGAAATGAAGCAGTCCGATTTTATTTTTTTCGTTTTGAGGTTCTGGGATTATGTCCCACCATATCTTATTGAAAAGTATGCCGTATCCGCATTTTTGAATGAGGATTTCCTGCGTGCGATAAGACCTAAAATTGAGGAACTGAGGCCACCAGGACGACGTGAGCCACACAGCTGTGCGCTGAAAGAGCACTCAGACAAGAGCTTCACCAGAAAAGAGGTTCTACCAGAGAACCCTTCTAATCGGATTGCTATGGACCACTGGGTGCTGTATGAGCCTAAAGTCCAAAACTTTCCGCTGGTGGACTGCTTTTTCTTTGTTGATTCGCCGCGGAGGACGTTGGTTGCGCTGCAGATGACTACGGCGAGTGCGCATCACACCACCGCCACCACTGTGAGGCAGCTCATTGAGTGTATGGCGGCTTATTTTGAAGGATGGGACGAATTATCACAAGACATGTCGTGGGAGATGATTTATGTGCAGCACGCAGACAGCACGCCGATGAAAAAATGGCAGAGATGTGATGTCGTCAATTCCAATAATGTGAGCCGCGCTGAAAACCGTGAGATTCGGCGTTCTGGGAGGAAGAGGTGCACCAGTACATGGCAGCAATATCGTCGGACGATGCCATAAGGGACGAAGCTCTCCGAAGTGGGGAACAACCACCGAAATGGTAAAAATAAATTATGGAATGAAAGGGGTAGTTTTGATTTCTGGTAAAAAAATATTGTGGGAGTTATATATTTTTGGATACTTTTTTGTGTGCATGCGGTGCGGTTGCACCATCTCCAGGCGGCAGTATATCGCACACAAACGCCAAAAGTGTCCAACACTATCGAACATAACAGTGGCAGAATAAATTAGGGAGGGAAAGGGGTTGTTTGGTTTCTAGTGAAAAACATTGGGTGGTTTTTATATAGTATGTTTATTGTGTGTGTGTATACGAGGCGTAATTGTAGAATTGCCCCGGTATGAGGGAATCATTGTGGCTGGCGGTGTCGCAGTACTACTGCATTGTCTATTTTCTTCTGTTTGTGTTCTAAGGCCCATCACGAACAGTAGCATCTTTAGGGATTGGACGATGCATAATTTCTATTGAGGAAACATTGTGCTCCGTGTGACCGCGTGTAGTGAGGCGCCGCTTCATGGGTGGATGAGGATCCGCTTCTGCGTGTGTCTTTTTGGGTGATTGCTCGCCCCGTGTTCGTTGTGTGCCGGCAGCGGGCTGTGGCCGTGTCTCGTTGTCCGTGGGACTGAACTGAAGACAGTGGCTGTGTGTCGCTTCTCGTTCTCGTCCATTGGTGTGTGGCTGCTGGCGGCGTGTGCGTTTGTTATGTGGATGCCGTCTCGCAGTTTACGCACGCAGTGAGCCACAAACTGCTGTGAAAAGACGCGGGCTTTCAGTATG